AGTTGGAGGTTGCTGTGAGCTGTAATGCCATGGCACTCTGCCCAGGGGGACAGCTTGAGGCTCTGTCTCAAAAAAAAATAAATAAATAAATAAATAAAAATAGGTAACTTAAAAAAAAAAATTGAGACAGTGGCATGGTATCACAGCTCACAGCAATCTCAAACTCTTGGGCTCAAGTGATCCTCTTGCCTCAGCCTCAGCTGGGACTACAGGCACCTGCCATAATGCCCAGCTAATTTTTTTAATGTTTTGGTAGAGATGTGGTCTCTATCTTGCTCAGGCTCATCTTGAACTTCTGAGCTCAAGCAATCCACCCACCTTGGCCTCCCAGAGTGTTGAGATTACACGTGTAAACCACTGTGCCCGGCCCTAAAATAGGTAACTCGAAACCTACTAAGAGCAAACAATGAAAACGACCCTATACACAAATATGCAAATATACTTAGAGGAAAAACCTTATCAATCTTTTATTCTGAGATTCATATTAAATTATCTTTCTTAGTGTCATTTTGTAATCAGATGGATTATAGCACAAATGAAGCCTCGGAGGTCGCGCAGGCATGCGTGCCTTTGCTTACTGCAGAGGTCGGGAATGGCTGCAGAGACACTTTGCTCATGAGCTTAGTCTTCACTGCCACACCCTTCTGGAGAGCCAGGACCTGACCAGGCTTCAGCCTCACCTATGTTACAAGAATTCCTCCACAAACGAAATGTCCCTTTTTTTCCCCTTTTTTGAAACATCCTGGCAGGAAAAACATCATGATGGAACCAAAGGCTTCACTGGTAATTTAAATTAGTAAGTGAGAACGGGCCAGGTGTGGTAGCTCACATCTGTGCTTTGGGAGGCTGAGCCAGGAGGATCTCTTAAGGTTAGGAGTTCAAGACCAGCCAGGACAACATAGCAATACCCCCATCCCTACCAAAAATTTTTAAAAATTAATCAGGTAGGACACAACCTGGAGTCCTACCTACTAGACTGAAGTTGAGAAAGGGGGATCACTTGAGCCCAGGAGTTCAAGGCTACAGTGAGCAGGCTACTATACCCCAGCTTGGGTGACAGAACAAAGCCCTGTCTCTCAAAACAAAAAACGAAAATGAATTTGACCCGCTTACTTGGCCTGTGATTGTTACACCTCAGCATCATAGGAAGCATTATACCTGTTTTATTCCCTTTGTGAAGAAACTAGAAGGCAGAGAGATAAAACACATTGTCTAGGCAGTGCTGGCAGCTTAGTGGGTAGGGTGCTGACCACATACACCTAGGCAGGCGGGTTCAAACC